GAATGCTACATGTGACACACAAAATGTACGCTATTCCCCACTCTAAGCTGGCAAAGTTAGTAATAACTGTGGTCCTAGAAATATTCCTTATGTTAACTCATGTATAAGTAACACAAGTACATATTGAAAAATGTTTATTACTGCTTTTTATACAATCTGTGCTTCACAATTGACAAAGAAAGCCAGGGCAGTCTCAATAACATCATGAGCCCCTGGGCAAAGTAATGCACTGGGGCCCCTAACAGCCTGCCCCAATTTACACACCTACTCTCAATAATTAATGTGATTCTAAACGTTATTTATTTTTTTTAAATAACAAAAAATGTCTATACTTACCTGCGCTGTGTAGTGGTTTTGCACAGAGCAGCCTGGATCCTCCTCTTCTTGGGTCCCGCGCAGGCTCTCCTGGCTCCTCCTTTCTGTCGGGTGCCCCCACAGCAAGCAGCTTGCTATGAGGGCACCTGCTGCTCTGTGTGTCCATTCACACACAGAGCCGCAGCTTGACCCTGCCCCCTCTTTCTCCTCATTGGCTGACTGGCGACGATTGACAGAAGCGGGAGCCAACAGCTCCCGCTTGCCGTCTCAGCCAATGAAGAGGCAGAGACCTAGGACAGCCGAGGCTGTCATGCACATTGCTGGATCTTGATGGGGTTCAGGAAAGTATTGAGAGAGCCGGGGGCACTGCTGCACACAGAAGGTTTTTTACCTTCATGAATAGAATGCATGAAGGTAAAAAACCTTGAGCCTTTATAACCACTTTATTGTATAAATAGTTGATAGAATTAAACATATATTTATTAGTACTTTTAATAAAATCAAATTTAAAACAATAAGAAAACATGCCATAAATCAAAGACTAATCAACACAAAGGGCACAGTACGAGGGGCGGGGGGGGATCAGGAAGGCACAATACTGGGATTAGGAGGGCACAATACTGGGATCAGGAGGGCACAGTATGGGGGGAATCAGAAATGAACAATACTGGGATCAGGAGGGCACAGTACGGGGGGGAGGGGATCAGGAGGGCACAGTACAGGTTCCAAGACAGTTGGCCAGTATGATGTAATGCAAAATTATCATGGGGCCCCCATGTACCTGGGGCCCTGGGCAGTGCCCAGAGGTGTCCATGCATTAAGACAGCCCTGTAGAAAGCTATAAAGTACAGAACGTTCCATCTGACAATACAGCATTGAATTAAAGAACAGCTGGGGTCCCAACCCTATACAGTATGTATGAATATATTATTTGGAAGAAGAGATTTCACTGTATATCACAGAGTGAAGGTGCACTAATGTACATGAAAACTGACCTTTTTGTATTGCAATTTTAGCCGCTTTATACTGAGGATCATCAATATCAGCTACCCAAGGCATTGCTTCAATTTCCAGTGAAACGGTCAGTTTATTTGGACTGTTTAATTTTGAAAATACTTCTTCAAGATACTGTTTAACCTAGAAAGGAATGAATATACATATCAACAACATGCCAATTTCCTCCAGCAGACCCCAGTCCCACTTACAGGGGCCTGACAGGGAGTCCCTGCACTGTAGTCATTGATCCAATACCTGCCAACGTTACTGACTCATCTATCTGCCATAATGTGATGATCCTGAATGTACTGATAAGATATATCCATTCTGAGTACTATGAGGTTTATTTGTGCCACTGTGATTCAGCTTTTCAGCTGCATATTGAAGGTACAAGGCTCAGCACAAGGGACGGGGAACTTAGGTAAGTCTGTATTATGATTTGTTTGAATGATTTTTGTCTGAATGATTTTTGTCTGCCTGCACATTAAAAATTGCAGCTGGGAAGAAGAAAAAATATAAAAGTAACAGAACAACTGATTTTGCAGGCACATTGTATTTTTTTATTTTATTTTTTTGTTAAAGAAACACCCAGGGCAAATAACACTGCCAATTGGTAGCCCTCCTTGGCAAGGTATGCTCGCCCATTTATGCTCCCTTGCTGTTTCTTTCCTGCTGAGCCTCAATCATCCCCAGTGTCGGAAGGGGTCATTAACCCGGGTTAATTCTGATGCCATCTAAGTGACAGTTCAGAAGGTTGATATTGCAGCAAAAGCTGGTTTTGATATTGCAGCAAAAGCTGATTTTGATATGTTATATTTTATTGAGCTATTTTTTTTATTTTGTTATATTTGGATGGAGTTCTGTTTTGAGGTTAGATAGAAGGCCTTTAAAAATATTAGGGAGTTAGGGCCTACATTTATGTTCAAGGCTTCCTAGGTATTAGCAGTTGAGAAATACTATTAGTGCTATAAACTGAACCCTAGCAACGGAGGGAGCTTGAAGGAATTTAACAACCATTCGTAAAGTAGGTTTAGAGATTCTTTCCAGAAGGATTGTGAGATCCTGCTCTTTACGAGCGTTTTTTAAATTTTCCCCTGTTCTATTGTGTTACTCGCTGATTTATTTGATGGAATGCTGCCCATAAATGTGTACAATCATGGGAATGATCTGCATGGTTTCCTCACTTGATGTTGCTGCAATGTAGTTTGGGCACCTGACTTGGTGAAAGTAACTTGTATATCCTTTTCATGTCAAAAATGGAATTATCAGCACAACGCTTTGGAGTCTATTTACAAATGTTTCTGCACAAGATTTCCACAACTTTCAACCAAGATTCCCACATTTTTAATTGGATTAAATTTTAAAAAAAATGTGTGAATCGTGGGTGAAACTTGTGGGAAAAAAAATTGTAATAGACCTTACATTAGGGGAAAAGAATGCTTTTCATGTTTTTGTGATATCTTAGAGTCTAGGACGAGTTGATACTTGCACAAAACCTGAGGGCCCATTTACATGTGCTAACGTGTGTTATGAAGGATGTTAATGTGCACATGCATTAAAACAGCCCATTAATATGAATGGGCTTTCTAAATGTACCAAAGGTGCATGCACTATTTTTAGCAATGCGGAGCATCAAAAAAAATGGAAATGTGTTACTTTACATTGGTAAACATGCATTAGGTTGCCATTAGGATGAATGCCACTGCAGTGGGCCATAACAAGCATTGCATTGCTATGCATTACCACTATGCAAGTGTTTAAATCCAGCCTTAAACAGCAATGTTAAAGAAGACATGACACCATGTAACCTTGGATTTCAAATCAGTACAAATCTAGATGAGACATTTTTCCTAATTGATATATTGTATAGACAGTGCAAGTTCCTTTAGGATAGTGATCTCCAAACTGTGGCTCGCAGACAGGATGTGGCCCTTTTATTGCCTTCATCTGGCATTTGGGGCACTATTCTTCCCACCAATACCAGGCAGTTTTTCTCCCACTGACACCAACAGTGGAGAACTATTCCTCCCACTGACAACAATGATAAGGACATTATTCCTCCCACTGACACCAACAATCGGGTACTATTTTTCTCACTGATATAAACAATGGAACACTATTCCTCCCACTGGCAGCAATGATGGGAAACTATTCCTCCCACTGATACCAATGATGGGACACTATTCCTCCAACTGATACCAATGATGGGACACTATTCCTCCCACTGACACCAATGATGGGGCACTATTCCTCCCACTGATACCAATGATGGGACACTATTCCTCCCACTGTTACCAATGATGGAACACTATTCCTCCCACTGATACCAATGATGGGACACTATTCCTCCCACCAATACCAATGACATGGCACTATTCTTCCCACTGAAACCAATGATGGAACACTATTCCTCCTCCTACTGACCACAGGAATGCAATTTTTTCCACACTGACCACAATGCCTGAAGTGTTGTTAATGGCCAATGAAACTGGGACAATTTCTACTCCCACTGGCCACAGCCCAGTCCAGCCCCCCTAAAGTCTGAAGTATACTAAACTGGTCCTTTGTTTAGAAATTTTGGGAAACCCCTGCATTAGAAGATTAGTTTATGCTATAAAAGGCTGCTGGTTTACCAGATTTCACCAAAATATGGAACTTTAAGTGTGTATCTGCAGCTGTCTGTCCTCAGACAACCTTGAATCTAAGGGCTTCCCCTTGGATTTCTGTAAAAAAGGGGTTATATACAGAAATCTCCTTTTAATTAATCTGCCTATAAAAAAAAAGTTGTTTTATTTGGCCAATGCAGCATGGCACAAAAACTCAGTTCTTACTATTGCCGCAAAAACATTATTAATGAACGTTTACCCTTTGTGCTCTCTCTGGTGGTTATTAGGCTGCATATCCAATTGAAGACATTTCCAATTTTGTACCCTATGTCAGTGTTCCTTAAAACTGTGGGTCAAGGACATTTTTCTGTTGGGTTACCACTTGACTGTGGATAGCCTTGTTTCCCCAAGTGAGAAATCAGTGGTAAGCACACTGACTTAAAGTAACAGCACAGACACATATGGAGGGACTAGAGAATGTGCTAAGATGGGAACATTAGCTCCCCTGCTGACATTGGCATCTTCTCCCCAGCTTTTTATTGCTGCAGGGTCTACAACCATCTTGATTGGCCATTGTGGGATGATAAAACTCTTATGAATGCACACAGGAGTTCGTCCATCTTGGAACCGTGGTTTGCTGAGAATATACACTGAGATTCGCATATGCAGCTCAGTGTACATGCTAAAGAAGACTGTGAAACAGGAAGGTAAGCTCATTCTATCAAATTATCTATAATAATATCTATTGACGTTTTGCTTTTCTGCTTTACATATGAGAAAACATTGAGCACTATATTTGAATATTTTGAGTTTATATGCCTGTTTTTATAATATACAGCCATTGTTATTTGTCTTTTTAAAGGCTTTGATGACATTTTGGTAATCATTTTTTTTTCTTGGGTCCCAGTACAGTAATAGTTGTCTTGTTTGTGTTCTTGAATTTAAAAAGTTTACGAACCTCTTTTCTATGTGAAAGTTTTCAGCAGCCATTCTTACCTGTTTTTCCACTACAGGGATTTGCATATTTGGAGCTTGCCGAATTGAGAATTTTCCTATCACTTTTGAAGGAATGACAGTTTTGGTCCCCGTTCCAGCAAATGCTCCCTCTATGCCATGAATGGAAAGGCTGGGGTATCTCCACATGCGCTGAAGAATTTCTTCCTGCAAAAACAGTAACAATATGTAAAAAGAAATTTGTATATAAGACATATTAGGTTCAGTTCACTAAGATAGATAACTTATTTTAACTCTGTTATTTGCTTTTATGAGCAATCAGTATTTTTTCCCAAATTTTAGTACTTGAATAATTTATTTATTACATGAAGTGTTACTTTATCACCATCCGTCAAAAATTCCTTTTTCTTCCTCCCTCCATAGGCACCTCATTGAAACTCGTAATTTTCACCGTAAATCTAGGGGCATTTTATTGCGTGATAATCCATGAAATTATTTTGACTGTAAAACACAAAATAGTAAATATCTGGTATTTATAATTCATGAGAATGCTTTCAGTAAATTAATCTGATCTACTCTTGAAATGCATTCACTGGACAAAACAATCCATTTTTTACATAGGGCTTTTTTCAGTGGGAACGTGGAAGAACGCAGTTCCGGAACCTCCTGCACTGAATGTAATGGCATGGAGTGCTGGGGTTTGCTGGAGGGTCTATTGATGTGGGCTGCAGGGGGATCTGTTGTCAGTAGTGGAAATCTATTTTTGCATTGGGGTCTATTGTTGCTGGGAGGGTCTTATGTTGCTGGGGGGTCATCAAGAGGCATAAACTGAAGGTTTTGCCATGGCCTTCACAATCTCCTGACCTCAACATAATTGAAAATCTATGGATAGACCTTAAAAGAGCAGTGCGTGACAGACAGCCCAGAAATCTCAAAGAACTGGAAGACTTTTGTAAGGAAGAATGGGCAAAGATACCTCAGACAAGTATTGAAAGACTCTTGGCTGGCTACAAAAAGCGTTTACAAGCTGTGATACTTGCCAAAGGGGGCAGTACAAGATATTAACTCTGCAGGGTGCCCAAACTTTTGCAGATGCCATTTTTTTGTTTTCTTTTATTTTGAAAGTGTAAATGATGGAAATAAAATCTAACTTTTGTTGACATATTATAAGAATGTCTAATCTGTAATTTGATGCCTTTTGGAGATTTTTCCATCTTTCCTTGGCTTCTTTATGCACATTAATACAAATTTTTAGCTGGGGTGCCCAAACTTTCGATCCCCACTGTAAGTGAGAGCCTCTACTGGGTGATTCTGCTGATTGCCAAATGTGTGAGGTTAAATGGGTGATTTATAATCTCCAAGACCAATAAAATCTGGAAGTGCAAAAAAATCACCATTTAGTGCTGCTGCAGGAGATTGCTGAGTCAGTTAAAGTGGAACTTAAAAGTGATTGTAAAAGCTCAAGGTTTTTTACCTTCATGTATTCTATGCATGAAGGTAAAAACCTTCTGTGTGCAGTGCCCCCCCCCCCAAATTCTTACCTGAGCCCCCTCTAATCCAGCGATGTTCTCGACAGCCTCTGCTGTCTCGGGACTCTTCCTCTTCATTGGCTGAGACAACAGCAGGAGCCCATTGGATCCCGCTGCTGTCAAGCACAGCCAGTGAGCTGATGAGGAGAGAGCAGGAGGCTGGGCCAAGTCACGGCTCTATGTGTCTTATGGAAACATAGAGCAGTGGGTCAGGGATGAGCATGCAGCGGTGCCCCCAGGGTGAGCAACTTTCCTGGCACTGCTTTAGCGGAAGGAGCCAGGAGCGCAGGTGGGGACCGGAAAAGAAGATGATTGGGGCTGCTCTGTGCAAAATCACTGCACAGAGCAGGTAAGTATAGACATGTTTGTTATTTAAAAAAAATAAGCTTTAGTGTCACTAACTGTATCTGAGCTGTTAGAGATTCTGTATATAGCCCTACAGAACAGACAGTCCACTTCTGTTTATCTGTTGCTTCTCTGTAAACAGGAAACAGGAATTTTTTTATAGGGAAAAGACAGTGTTTAACCATCATGCAGCTACAAACTTATAAACACTGCCATCTACTGGTTGAAGAATATATCTCTACAGGACACTGACACTGATGTTATTATGCAAAAACAAATGAACGTTGTATTCCAAATTGAAAACCACAAACTGAAAATGCTATTGCAATCATATTTAATATTCAAAGCAAATTCCTCCATCCATCTTATGTCTCCCTGCTCTATGTTGTTGAGAAATCACTTAGCATTTCTAGCTCTGGCAATCTTGAGTAAGGGCAAATGATTCATGTAGCATTCACTTCCTTGAATCCATCTGCTCAGGCATGTAGACAGGAGAGTGTGCTTAGCTGAGAAAACCTGTCCTCCCCTCCTGATGACTCCTGGGATGTATGACATCATTTTGGCCTAGGCCAGAAACCAGGAAGCAATCAAAGTGATGTAAAAAGAAAGAAAACTGCTCTGTCTATGGTCAGCCTTATGTAACAGTTGCATTTAAAAACAATGCACATAGATCAATCTCATGATATTTCGGAGTCGTTAAAGATCACACAAAGCCCTGGCCTGGCAATCCATTCTCCCCAGTTACAGGTAGAATCATGTTAAAGCTAATCTCTGGGTTTAGTAATCCTCTTAATACCATAGAGCATGTTCCTTTCACACTGCAGAATTTAATGTCTGCTGGTCCTATGAGAATATGATAAAGTTTAGAAGAAATAATATGACATTACAATAATAAACGTATGAAGTAACAAAAGATTTTTACCTTACTGCTGTACAAAAATGTGTTCACCTCTGTGTTGTTTTTGTGTTCCTCTATATCAAAATCTATATTTTCATATAAATGTATTTCTTGTTCTGTTACTGGAGCAACATCATCATAAATTCCAGGGATAAGGATACGACCAGTAGAGTCCACAAGACTTGCTATGCATAAAAGGGATGCAAGTCATTACCAAACCTGAGACTTCTTTATGATATTAAAAAACAAAATAATGAAAATAATATTCAAGCTGTCATTGCTGCTGCCTTATGAAAAGCTAATTGTCTGGCTATTGTGCAGAACCTCTGGGTTCAATACTTTCAGAGTAATTTCATTTCCTTGGCTTTATACACTACGTTTTATGTCAACAATTCGGAAGTATTGAATCTAGAGGATCTGCATGACAGTCTAACAATTTTTAGGCCTCATGCACACTGGGCATTTTAAAAACACTAGTAGCGTTAGCTGTATAAAGTCCTAATAAAAACCCAAGTTTTTCTTCATTTTTACATTCGCGTTTAGCTGTGTTTTTCCACGTTAGCAATTTTTAGCATGCACAAAAAAAAAAGATTTGGGCTCAAAAAAGCCGGTTTGCCATGTTTTACTGTGTTTACCAGCATTAGAGCATTTTTACAGCTAAAAAACTCCTCTTGGGGGGTGGGTTTCCAGCCAGAAAACACCCCTGACAAAAGCAGCTGATTAAAGCCTATGTGTGCATGAACACAGGATATCATGCTGGGGAGTTTACTGGCTGTAGAAAAAAAAATGCCAGATGCCAAAAACAGCAGCTGTAACAGCGCCCAGTGTGCATGAGGACTTATATTCAGACGGATATCAGCAATGGCAGCCTCTGTTTCTGTCATGAAACATTTCATTAAGTCTTCATACACACTGGGAATTTTAAAAAAAAGTAGCGTTAGCTGTATAAGTTGCATTAAAAACACAAGTTATTTTGCATTTGCGTTTGCTGTGTTTTTCCATGTTAGTGCTTTTTAGCGTTTTTTTTTTTTTTTAATTTTGGCTAAAAAAAACCATTCAAAAATCCTGGTTTGTGGTGTTTCACTACATTTACCAAGGTTTGGATGTTTTTACAGCTAAAAAACTCCTCTACAAACCCACTAGTTCTGGGTTTTTTTCCAGCCAAAAAACGGCAAAAGCCAAAAACAGCAGCTGTAAAAATGTCCAGTGTGCATGAGGCCTAAGAAAGAAAACTAAATATAAGGAAGCCAACAAGTAAGTTTGAAGTTGGGACACTTTCAGTGGCCATAAAAAGCCCAATCCCACCTCTGATACAGAGATTTGGAGGTTGCTGAGGCTAAAAACAGGTAATTTAGAGCTACCCAAAAGAGGCAACAAAAAAGCACTTCTGATGGTTGCAAGCTCTCATTATCACATACAGAATTATTTTTGACTAAATGAATCCTTCCTTTTTTTTCATTAGGAAGAAGATAATTGACTAAAATAATTGACAATACTTTACATGTATCATTTCTGCCAGCCACCAAAAACACAATGCTCTGTGCATGATATTTTCTCCTCATCATTCTCAGGGAGTAAAGCTGTGGTCACCCTTATCTTTAACATCACAAACACATAAATACAACTATAGACCATTCACTTTTCAAAGTTAACCTTCATTTTGCAATGTGAACCATCTCTACCCCTTTAGTAAATCAACCCTGGTATGTTACTCTTCAGCATTTCAAACCCATTGCTGGGCATTTGGGACCAAAGATTGAATGTGAATCACTGTAACAACTCAAGTACCCCCAATTCTCATGTGTTTCTAAGACTTTTCCTTGCCTTTATACAAGAACTTATCTTTAAACTATATTGTGAGCATAGTCTCAAAAGAAGTCATAATCATCAAAATATCAGAGAGCTTATAAGAAACCTATAATACCAATGATTGGTCTCTCAGGGAGCCATATACTTCCATTGTAGTCTTCAGCATAGCCATAAACTCATATAGCCTTGTACAACTCAAAAGACCAGCCAAGGCTATGGTTTAGTTAGAAGTTGTCTGTGTTCTATCTACATGTGGCCTATTCACAACAACTGCACAAAATGGTATCTGTCAAATAAAAAAAGTAAATGTGATCAGCTGTGGTGATTAACACCCCAACGTTTTTTTTGTTAACACAGAACTAGTGATTTGGAGTACTTGATCTGGATACCGAACCGGAGCGATGTCACATTTCCTCTCAAGTCTAGAAAAACCATTTGGAAGGAATGATCTTTTACATTTCAAAAATACGTAGGAAAGGGAAATTAGCAGAATTGCATGGAGTAACAGATTTCTTTAAATAGTAAAATGCGTAAGATGTGTCACAAATATTCTGCACCCCATCATAAATATTAGTATGGCTAAATGTATAGTTTACAATGTGCTGTTTATATTACCTAAAAGATATACTAGGTCCCTCATTGATTCATGGATGATGCCTCCAAAAGTTCCTGAGTGCAAGTCCTTTTTACCACTCTTCACCTAATGAAGAATACCAGAGATAAGATGCATGATTCACACTGCAATCGCCATTCAGGGTTATATGTTTTAGTAAATGTGCAATTTTAGTCCTTATTGTGTAAAGATTGTGTAAAGATTTTTCCAAGGATGGTATACCAACATTCTGCCCATCTGGGAAGAAGAGTGACAGATAAAAACTTAGTTTAATCTTACAGTGGTCACAGTAGTAATGTTGTGTTGACATGGAAGGGATCCTATATCATATGTAAAAGCAGCCTTGGCTATGTACAACCTGTATTATTGCCAGGGCTTTTTTTCAGCAGGAACTCAAGGAAACGCACCTCCAGCACTGAATGTATGTAATGACAAGTGGTGGTGGGGTGTACTGAGGGGGGGAGGTGTTATTAATGCTGGCTGCTGTATCTATTGTCACTGAGGGGGATGCATTGTTGTTCCTGGGGTCTATTGTTGCTGGTGAGGAATAACTGTTGAGATTGGTCTATTTTTGCTGGCTGCTTGGAGGTCTCTTGGTGCTGGGGGGGATCTATTGTTGCTGAGTGGGTATTTTGTTCCGGAGAGCCTATTTTTGCTCACTGCAGGGGATCTATTCTACTATTTTTCTTGTGATCAATAAGATCCATACAAAATTACTAAGCACCACAAAATGATACTTGACTTTGTATTCTCTAAAGGGGGCAGTACTGGGAGGTGGGTAGGGGGTGGAACTAAGGGACAGTGCTCGAAGGTGGGTAGGGGATGGAGATAAGGGGTGTCTCAGAAGGAAGGGAGTACCCGCACCTATTCTCTCATTAAAAAAAGCTGTGATGATTGTACAAGGCAACATTCTGACTGTTAAAGCCATGCTTTATTTTAAATTTACTATAACTATTTATTACTTTTAATAAAATTGTTATTGCTCATAGTATGGTCATAGGTGATTTAACTAGAGACACTAGGCACTCTAGGGCCAAGAAGGTTCCTTACACAAACTCAATACATTTGTTCCTCTGGTGCTCCTCAGATGCTGTAAATTTGTTTTTCAGTACTACTTTACATTTTATAAAGAACCATTTTAAATAGGGAAACATTTAGCATAGACAGTAAAGCAGTGTGGTGTTCTTTTGGTATTGGAAAATCAAATAAAAGTAGTTTTTTAATTTAAAAAGACAGTAAAGCAGTGTAAAATCTAGTAATGATATGCAAAATGCAGTAATTCCTTACAGCCGATAAGGCCTCAGTTAACTGTCAGAACAGTGGTTGGTTGCTGTGATTATAATGTACTTTGCACATTGCCTCAGTGAAAAAAGTATAAACTGTACTGTAGTGGTAATGATGTCTTTAAAGATATTATTGTATATTACTGTAATTCTATGTATACCTGGAATACATATTTGAAGATCTCTGCTTTCTATTACTGTCCTCTCAGTGCTTTTGCTTAAATCACTTGAATAACTGGAAAAGTCATTTGAAATTTTGCAAACAGCTAAAGCCTCACCAGTCTAAAGTATAAAACAGATCCTTACCTCTACAAAGAAATAGGCATTGCCTCTTGTCCCATATGTCAAGGCAGGTTTTTTGCTGAGCCACACGTTATCAGAAATAACAACGTAATCCACATCAGAGAAGAAATCCATGTGTTCCTTAATTAATTCTTCTAAACCAGGGGAGCCCGTTTCCTCTACCCCTTCTATAATGAACTTTATGTTCACCGGAATGTCCTGAAATCACAAAAGAAAAACATACATTTGATATTACAAATTAAATACAGAAAGCATATACTATATGAATATTAACAACAAAAAAATTCTGATAATGCTGAACTGCCAACCAAAGGGCCAATGCCAGGAAAATGTCAGAACACAATTACAGATCTATATAAATGAAGTGAGATAGATAGAGATATTTACTATATAATATGTAGCACTGCCCCCTTAGGAGTGGAGTTATTTTTGGGCTCCCTGTCATTCTGGACCCCTTTCTGAAAGCCAAACCCCTACTGACAACACAGGATTCTTTTGACCAGAGTAAATTATCACCAGAAAGCAGACACACACATATTAGAGTAAACTGATACAAGGTTTATATTAAACTTCAATGTAAGCTTGGTTAAACAGTACAAAAGGGTATGGGTACATGGAAAGGCGATGATTACTCTTAGCAATGTGAAACAAAGAAATACCACATACAGCAGAATCTCAATCAGTGTTAGCTTTACAGAAGTTAACCCAATAGCTTCAACCTGAGGTGGTGTCAATGAAAACTAGCAACAGTAGAACTAGCTTACTTTGGGCCCTCAGCATATGATGGCAAGGTTTAAATCTGAGATAAAAGAGCTTTTTGACCAGGGTAGTCAATGTCCCTTTAAATGCAGTGAGGATTCTTCTGCGTGCTCGCTGGAGCCCAGATGGTGCACAAGTAGGAAGTGATGTAGGTGACAGTTCATTACAGGATTAACACAAGGGAAGGAAAAAGGACAACTACTTTCCCTTTAAGAGGCACTTAATGTGGGTGTTGTCCCCTTTAATGCACTGAGAAAAGGGCAGCTTTAGGCAAATAAAGTGTCAAATCAGCAATAGGGCTTGTTGGCAAAAGGGCAACTCCACTCTGGGCTGCAGTAGCCAATGGCAATGGTGGTAGAAGTTCCTTCCTCTTCACCAGGGCACCTGATAGTGATGAGGATAGACTTTCAAGAAGAGTTGAAGAGTAGGCGATAACCAGAGGTGAGCAGAGAAGCCAAACAACACAAACTGGGAGCCAGGCCAGGAAATGATGGAAGGGAAAGGAAATACAAACCCACAGAAGAGTACGCAGCGTCCATAGGTGAACAGAGAAGTCAAACAACACATGTGAAAGGAATCAGGTCTAGGAAAAGCAATGCAACAAGGAAATAAGAATTACACATGCAGAAAACTTCAGGCTAAAAAGTGCAATGGGAAATGAAGGGTACATCGCTACATATAGGGTTACAGCGGGCCCAAAATATTCCTGGGGCACCATTATTTATTGAATTTAGCAAACGTGTTGAGCCAAGCTGTCAAATATTCCATGCTGTAGATATTGTGAACACGTTTGTAAAGATATGCTGAAGAGGGTGATAGTGGTTGTTTCCATTTTAAAGCTATCAGGCATATAGCTGCAGTCAAAAACGTGGTTTATCAGCTTGGTAGCAAGTTTGACTGTATTTGGTATGGGCAACCCCAGGAGGTAATGTACTGAATCTAAAGGGATTGACTGGAGGGACAAATATTGATTCTAAGAGGGTTTTAGTGTGTTCCCAGAGAGAATGTCTTGGCGCAGTCCCAGTAGATGTGGTGTAGTGTCCCCACTAAGTCAATACATCTCCAAAAAGTAAGAGGAGATTGCATGGAGAGTTTTAGGTGTAAGGTACTAGTGAAATAAAATCTTGTATTGGTTTTCCTCATATACAGTACATGAGGAAGTCTTTATTAAAGCTATCTCTGATATCTTCCCACTCCTCTAAGTCCAGGGTGAGGCCAAGAGTGGTACTTATTTTTTAATGCACTGGAGCTGAATACAGTTGGGTTAACTAGGGTATATGGAAAACACTGTTCAGAGGCAGCTCTCCAATTAGGCAAATTAGGCGGTCGCCTAAGGCTTTCATGCTCACAGGGGCCTCGCAGCTGACGGCTTAAAAGTGAAAGTGATTTTGGCAGCTCTATAGCTGCTTATCACTTTCACAGAGCCGGCAGCGCAGTGCTTCCCTCCCCTTCCGCCGGCGCCCCCCCCTCCTCCCGTGGTTCCCAGGATCTCCCGCTATTACTGGAGCCCGTAAACACATTTTCCAGCTAGGGGAGGGAGAGTGCTGTGGGACTGTGGCAAATCCATGCCTCGATCTCACATGCAAACAGTGAAACTGGAAGTGATGTTACTTCTGGTTTCAGATCCACCCTTTCCTGGCCAGTACAGCCAGGGGACACATCTAACCAAGCAGATCTGTGCTTAGTTTGATGGTGTGAAGGGCAGGGAGACATTGAGGTCTATGTCTCCATAAAGTACCTGTTACCTGTCAAATGCTATCACATGGGGGTTTATTAACCCCTTGTGATAGTAATCAAGTAAAAATAAAATGTTAAAAAAAAAAAAAATTGCTGTAACCCCCGTTTCCCCACACACCTGCACAAATGAAAGCTCAGGGTGTGCACGTGTATGTAAACCGTGGTCACACCACATGTGACATATCGCTGTGAACGTCAGAGTGATAACAATAGATCCACCACAAGAGATCCTAGTTAATGAGCTGTAAAGGCTTTTAAAGTGTCACCTATGGTGATTTTTGGGCACTGTAGTTTTTGGCGATAATCGCTCGCCCAGCCAAATCTAAAACATAGAATGTCTGGTATCTTTTTACTCAATGCAGCCTCCTCTTTTATACTTTAACCAAAAATGGGTATTCTATTGTGTTTTTACACGAAAATTAATTTTAGTATATTTTTTCCTGAAAATTTGTTTTTAATAAACAGCTGTGCAAATGTCACGTGACATAAAAATGTGCAGATATCACATTTTTAGTCTACAGGTCCTCTTCTTTCAGAAAACATATGTTCTGGGGTTTAAGTAAGTTTAGTGCCACAAATTTAGATTTTTACATGAATGCAAAAAATAAATAAATTGCTCTGGAGCCAAACTGGTTAACACTGCTGTGCCCAGGCAATGTTAAGTGCCCTGTCACACTCACCTCTCATGTGATCTAAGACTTCTAGAGCTCCGACCACCAGCCAATGAGGAGTGACGTTGCGTCCGTGCACGTCACCCCTTCCGTCCACTGCACGGGGATCTCAATCTGGGAGGGCCTGCTGCAAAGCATTTAGTCTGAGCATGCCCTAATAGCATGCTGGTCCAGAGATAGAATATTTAGACTCTAAAGAGTACTTTCAATAAAGCAGAGCAGGCTCCATTTTCAGAATATTGTCTCTTGCTATCACTGCTATGTAGGAAGTTATATAGGAATGTAAGGTGGTGAATTTTAAATGCCAAGGCTGTTAGCTTAGCTTTACATCTACAAATTCCAATAAATCCTCTATTTAGACAATGAAAGGTCTTTGTGTTTCTTGTAAATATATTTTTGCACTCTTTACAGCAACGACAGCTGAAAAAGGAAGTGAAATAGCTTAGATGGCAGCATATGTTGCTAGAGGACACATGGTCCATATAAACCATTATGATGTGCCAAGCACAGTGACTCAGACAGTTAATTTAGTCAATCCAGCTGTGACCAAATACAATATATCGACAGGATAAAGGGTAAATGCTGCTGCAAGGAAATGCAATTGGTCAGGAGTCCAAGCATTGCATCTTTCCTTTAATAACCTAAATGGCCCAGATATTATAAATGTCACCAACAATCTGTCCTAAAATTTAAAAAACAAAATCTTTTTAAACATTTTCCAACTCTATCAAAATGTTAATATTGCTGAAAACAAGACATTTAGTGTATAAATATTAAAAATATGGGAGTAGATTAACAGAGTGGCTCAATCAGAAGAACACAAGCATTCTTTTTATCCTTTAATATTTTGCAACTCCTAATATTTTAGATTATTTTTTCAGTAACTGAAATCTGGAGGATGCCACTGCTAACCTTCTGAATATGCAGGTTTTTAGGGTGCCACACTAATTCAAGGGCCACGCTGTTTTCCGACTTGCTGTTCTAATGCTGAACAAGCATGCAGCAAACAAAATTGCAGTGAGGTGCGATCTGTCTGCTGAGTCAGAAGAAACAGATTTGATTGTGCATGCATATACTGTATATATAAATAATGAAACAAAATGTAGTTATGCAGCAAGAATTATTGTTGGTGAAGGTAGCGGCAGCCAATGACATTGCCCTGCTTTAGAGGACTGTGAGAGTGGAACTTGGCTCAAAAAGTGAAGAATTGTGTTAAAGCCTAAGTTTAGGTAAAATTTTTTTTTTTTTAATCAGCACAAGGGACAGTACTTGTGTGCTCAAATGTTTGCATACTCTGGAAAAAATCGTGACATTGAAAATATGACTGCTCACACCAAAAAGCTGTCTTTTATTTTATGGATAGTGATAATTTTTTATTTTATTTACTACAGGTACTTATATAGCGCTGTCAATGTACGTAGCACTTTACATATGTATTGTACATTTACATCAGTCCCTAACCCTCAAGGGGTGTACAATCTAAGGTCCCTAACTTACATTCATACATACACATACTAGGGCCAATTTAGACAGGATCCAATTAACCTACCAGCATGTCTTTGGAGTGTGGGAGGAAACCGGAGTACCCAGAGGCACAGGGAGAACATACAAAACTCCAGGCAGGTGGTGCCATGGTTGGGATTTGAACCAATGACCCTAGTACTGCCCAGCAGAAGTGCTAACCACTTAGCCATTATGCTTCCAATTTATATGATCATAGGAAGCCATTTATTATCACATAGTTGTTTGCCTCCTTTTTAAGTCATAATGATAACAGAAATCACCCAAACAGTCCTGATCAAAAGTTTTCATGCCCTGGAATGTTTGGCCTTGGTACAGACACACACACACACACGTTACAATAGCAAATAAAGGTTACATTTCCCACATTTTTTAAATTGCAATTAGTGTGTGTGTATATAAATAGTCAATGAGTTTGTTAGCTCTCACATGGATGCACTGAGCAGGCTAAATACTGAGCCATGGGGAGCAGAAGAGAACTGTCAAAAGACCTGTGTAACAAGGTAATGGAACTTTATAAAGATGGGACAGGATGTAAAAACATGTCCAAAGCCTTGACAAAGCCAGCCAGTACAGTTCAATCACTTATTAAGAATTGGAAAGTTGGGGAATCTCTTGATACCGAGCCAAGGTCAGGTAGACCAACAAAGATTGCAGCCACAACTTCCAGAGGAATTGTTCAGGATACAAAGAAAAACCCACAGGTAAGCTCAGGAGAAATACAGGCTGCTCTACAAAAAAAAACCCAAAAAAAACAATGGTGTGGTTGTTTAAAGAAGCACAATACAATGATACTTGAACAAAAAGTGAGCTGCATGGTCAAGTTGCCAGAAAAAAGCCAATGCCACAAAAAAGGCATGTCAAGGTGTTGTTGGGCATATTGTAACTGGGCTTTTTTGTGGCACCCACCTCCATGAATAAAATGTGAACTATGAATGGAGGATGGGTGGATAAATTAAAGGTCTACCTCCTACATTCATAGAGCCGTTTGCATGCTTGGAAGCTATAGTACAGCTTTTATAAATGGAGGAGAGGGGTGGAACGGGCTGGCATAAACACACTTGATGAGTGACAGGTCCAGTGCTCTTATTAACCTCTGCAACACCAGAAGATTAAAGCTGTGGATTATGGGGGAGTTCGAGGACTTCAAATTTCAACTATGACAGGCGACAACAGCAAAAGAGAATCTTAAAACAACATTAAATAATGTCCCTTGTGCTATTTTTTAAACGTTTTACCTAGGGAGTATGTAAAAATGGCAATTGCACCTAAAAATGGTACCCTGAGGAATCTACTCCTATCCTCAATTCCTACCGGTAAATAGGTGTGCACTTCCGGATATGTGAGATCTAAGGCAAATTGCCTCTGACTGCTAGTTTTAGCAGATGACATTACTGCTGACTGGTCATTTGTCCTCTACCGGCTATGAGAGTTCAGTTTCTCCTTCAGAAAGAGGGGAACAAATTCACTGGGATGGTGCTTTAATAAATGCACACTTATATGGCTGTCAAAGTATAATTAGGAGATAAATGGTTATGTTATGGGATAACATAACCATAGGGACTGCAGCTGAAAAAGGGGGATTCCCCCCTTCTGTCATTCTACACATTTTAGAGAGCCCTTGAAGTTATAAATAGCATTATAGGTATGGATCTCCAAATAGGGCTTAAGTGCTAAAGCTCAATTTAACTTTCATTTTAAATTAACCAAGAACACTTCAGGCAAAATCAAAGCAAATGGTGTGCAAAGTCTGAGTTTGTGTTCTTTAAATGTTTGCCACAGCCTGAGTAAAAAAGTCTGCATCCTGCCAGCATGCATGCAGCAGAGTGGGACCACTCAAGCTCTCTGTAGGGAGTTTCTGCTTAAAAAGGTAATTACAGGGAATTCAAACCAGGCTAACCCATTAAATGCATTGTTTAGACTGGTTTGCACAGCAGCAGGTTGACTTGGAATTTTTATTTCTGTTTGGGCTTTTTTCACGAGGTTGAAGGAGAGCTTTTACATACAAATTGTCATTTATTATATCTGCCATCTTCAAAAGGAGGCTTTCAACCATGATCCCCTTGCAGCAGTGGGATATGGGATATAAAAAAAAAAATTTCAGCTACATACACGGATCGAATTCCAAACACATTTTCTTTAGAAAATTGTAAATTTAGTGTGTTTTGTAATCAGATGGTGCCACCATTGATTTCGAAATTCAACCAAGCAAGCCTAGAATCTCTCCTCATGTTGCTACAGAAAATAATTTTCATGGCCAAGAATTTTCTTTTCTTTCCAGGTCACAGCTTTGTATTTCTTGCACGATTCTCCCATCATCATTGATTGTAACGTTTTAGTTTTTCCAAAAATTTCCAACATGCCCGATTGCTCAAATTTGAAGGTTACACGAAAATCGGCCATTTTTTCGAATGAAAATTCTAAGAAAAGATTTTTCTAAAGAAAATTCTTTTGGAATTCGACCCCTGTATGGCAGGCTTTAGTGTTGCTGTCCTGTTGCTTTAGTTCTGGGATCTAAAGACTTACACTGCTACCAGGAAAGAAAGATGGCTCATTCTATATTTTTTACAAAGATTTTCTTACCTTTTTCAGTGATATATATGTTTCAATGGCATGTATCCAGGCTAACACGGGGCCTTTGTTGTCTGTTGCACCTCGTCCATATAAGTTTCCTTAAAATTATGCAAATGTAAACTTAGAAGAATTATGGCACATTCAATAATATATTTATAAAAAAAATTTTCTAAAAACACACACATTCTTTTTAGAATACACTACCACAACATTTCACATTACTGATGTGTGTACGTTTTACCATTATTTATGTTAAAAAGTATCCTTCTCTCTTGCTTTCTTTGTTTGAAATACCCGGTATTTCTGCTAGTCCCCCTGCTTTGCTATTTCAAACTGACCATGAGGCATGAGAGCACATCCTTCTTAGTGTGGTCAGTTTTCTGGATAGCCTGCCTGTCCAGTAATACCAAAAACGTGTGCTGACATGCCTCCTGCACAGCCATCCACTGGGAAGATCGCTGTTCTGCTTTTTCTCCACCCCCACCTCTTTAAGCCTCTTATGCAACTGAGAAGACAGATTATGTGATCGCATAATCTGGTATTTATAATTTTTTAATACATATACTGTATACACCAATGTTTTGCCCTTCATTTGTATTTTAACCACTTGCCTACCGGGCACTTATACCCCCTTCCTGCCCAGGCCAATTTTCAGCTTTCAGTGCTGTCACACTTTGAATGACAATTGCGCAGTCATGCAACTCTGTACCCATATGAAATTACAATTTTTTTGAGACATATAGAGCTTTCTTTTGGTGGTATTTAATCACCTCTGGGTTTTTTTTTTTTGCTAAACAAACTAAAAACTGAAAATTTAGAAAAAGATTTTTCTTAGTTTTTGTTATAAAATTTTGTAAATAAGTGATTTTTCTCCTTCACTGATGTGTGCTAATGAGGATGCAGTGATGGTCACTGGTAGGCTGCACTGATAGGCGGCACTGACAGGCGGTTTAGATGGGCACTGATATTTGGCATTGATGTGCACTTGTAGGCACTGATATGTGGCACTGCTGGGCACTGGCAAGTGGCATTGATGAGCACTGACATCTGGCATTGATGGACACTGACAGGTGGCACTGCTGGGGCTACACTGATTATCAGTGCCCTGATGATCAGTGTATATGTCCCCTATGAGTAATGCCGATTACCGACTCTCCTCTCCTCACGAGCTGTCAGTGTGACAGCTCGTTAGGAGAGAAATGCCGATAACCGGCATTTCCCTATTTACATGTGATCAGCTGTGATTGGACAGAGTTGATCACATGATCAAGCCTACATCTTCGGCTCTTTCCGTTGATGGCCGCGCTGCGTGCCCCCAGAGCCATGCATCGTATGACGTCCTCCCAGAACGAGAGAACCGCCTTGCGCCTGTCATTGCCTTATATGGCGGGCAGGAGGTGGTTAAGCTGAAAAGGATGTTTTGCAATGTGAGATTTCATATACTTTATATACAACAATGACCACTATAAGGCCTCACGCACACATGGCATCTCTTTAAGCCTCTCTAAATGACAGAATTCCTGGCAGGAAAGAGCTGCCTAAAAAATTAAGTAAAAGCTTTGTATTGCACAAACATTTAGGTATATCTAGTGTTTGAGCGTCATTCCATTCTGTTAGTCAGAATATGAATTTAGTCTGGCCATTGGAATGAATTAATGCTCAAATGCTATACAAGCCTAAATGCATCTAGCATTTATGTGCATTTAGAGAAGTTTGGATGCGTTTCACTATTTCTGCTCTTCAACTCCTCTCCTGAACTCCCCTTTTGGTGTTTTTTTTTCCAGCCTGTAAATGTTCCTCTAATACCCCTGTAAACGCCTGTGTGCATGGACAAATAGGCTAACATAGAGGTGTTTTACTGACTGAGAAAAAAAAAACAAAACAAAAAACAAACAAAAAAAAAAAAGCTCAACACCTGTAACAGTGGCCTTTTTTAAACTTCGTGTGCACAAGGCCTAAATATTATTGCATCTCCAAGCTGTTCAGACTGATGTGTTAATTCACAAAGATGTCTAAGGAAGAAGACCAAATCTGGAACTCTTGTCTACTATACCTTTGCATTCAGAAACAATTTTTATAATATATACAGTATGTATGTATCTATCTATCCACAAAAAAGTTCATAGATACAGTAACATGAAACTAACCATTAACAAAAGATACTAACCATTAACTTCAGTCAATGTGTATGGATCACTTTTCCACCCATCTTCCTTTTTAGCAGGCTGGACGTCAACGTGTCCATAAAAACAGACAGTAGCCTTTGTGGTGTCATTACCCAGCTCAGCCAAGATTGCAGGGGGGAATTTGATTTTTTGTCCACCATGCAGCTGAAGATAAACAATCAAATTTTTATTTCAAAAGTTTAGTAATAAAAATGCTATACATATACTGGATGCCATAGCAATCTATCTAAGAAACAGCAAGTGCAAAATGTCATTGGGAGAGGCAGCAAATCACTCCACCTCTTCTTATGTTGTAACCATCAGAAATCTCCTTTTTCTTATGTGACAAGCCCTTTCAGCTTCTGCCCAAACTATTTACGTAATGAGAATATTTATTTTAATTTGCTGTGCTGTGTGACACCTGTCAAATAGGAAGTGTCGAGAAATCTACACAATGGGGGCATTGAGGTATAATTGCTAGTATGCTATGCTTTGTGTAATGGCTGTGTGTGTGTTCAGGTTAGCATAAACTGAAGAAATGTAAACCTTCTTGTAAATATAGATTTGTATTAATACAGATTATAATGAACCAGAAGGGAATACTGTAGCTCAATTGGAGAGAGAGTTTAAGCGTTTCTTTTAAATTCACACTGCTCTGGAAAAGTTCTACACTTGGGGGCATATGTATAAACCCGACATTCATCAAACTTTAGTTGTTGCAGGTGAAAATACACACACACTGCCTTGAAATTTTCCATTTTGTCATGTTACAACCAAGAAATACAAAGTGTTAAAGTATAAAATTAAATACACATGGTGTGTGTGTGTACATACATACATACAGTGGGGATCGAAAGTTTGGGCACCCCAGCTAAAAATTTGTATTAATGTGCATAAAGAAGCCAAGGAAAGATGGAAAAATCTCCAAAAGGCATCAAATTACAGATTAGACATTCTTATAATATGTCAACAAAAGTTAGATTTTATTTCCATCATTTACACTTTCAAAATAAAAGAAAACAAAAAAATGGCGTCTGCAAAAGTTTGGGCACCCTGCAGAGTTTATAGCATGCACTGCCCCCCCTTTGCAAAGCTGAGACCTGCCAGTGTCATGGATTGTTCTCAATCATCGTCTGGGAACACCAGGTTATGTCAATCTCAAAGGTTTTAAATGCCCAGACTCATCTGACCTTGCCCCAACAATCAGCACCATGGGTTCTTCTAAGCAGTTGTCTAGAAAACTGAAAATAGTTGACGATCACAAAGCTGGAGAAGGCTATAAGAAGATAGCAAAGTGTTTTCAGATGTCAATATCCTCTGTTCGGAATGGAATTAAGAAATGGCAGTCATCAGGAACAGTGGAAGTTAAAGCAAGATCTGGAAGACCAAGAAAAATATCAGACAGAACAGCTCGCAGGATTGTGAGAAAAACAATTCAAAACCCACGTTTGACTGCACGATCCCTCCAGAAAGATCTGGCAGACAATGGAGTTGTGGTACACTATTCCACTATAAAGAGATACTTGTACAAATATGGTCTTCATGGAAGAGTCATCAGAAGAAAACCTCTTCTACGTCCTCACCACACAAAAATCATCGTTTGAACTTTGCAAATGAATATATAGACAAGCCTGATGCATTTTGGAAACAAGTTCTGTGGACCGATGAGGTTAAAATTGAACTTTTTGGCCAGAATGAGCAAAGGTACGTTTGGAGAAGAAGGGGCACAGAATTTAATGAAAAGAACCTCTGTCCAACTGTTAAGCATGGGGTTGGATCAATCATGCTTTGGGGTTGTGTTGCAGCCAGTGGCATAGGGAACATCTCACGAGTAGAAGGAAAAATGGATTCAATAAAATTTCAGCAAATTTTGGATGGTAACTTGATGCCATCTGTGAAAAAGCTGAAGTTAAAGAGAGGATGGCTTCTACAAATGGATAATGATCCTAAACACACCTCGAAATCCACAGGGGATTACATCAAGAGGTGTAAACTGAAGGTTTTGCCATGGCCTTCACAATCTCCTGACCTCAACATAATTGAAAATCTATGGATAGACCTTAAAAGAGCAGTGCGTGACAGACAGCCCAGAAATCTCAAAGAACTGGAAGACTTTTGTAAGGAAGAATGGGCAAAGATACCTCAAACAAGAATTGAAAGACTCTTGGCTGGCTACAAAAAGCGTTTACAAGCTGTGATACTTGCCAAAGGGGGCAGTACAAGATATTAATTCTGCAGGGTGTCCAAACTTTTGCAGACGCCATTTTTTTGTTTTCTGTTATTTTGAAAGTGTAAATGATGGAAATAAAATCTAACTTTTGTTGACATATTATAAGAATTTCTAACCTGCAATTTGATGCCTTTTGGAGATTTTTCCATCTTTCCTTGGCTTCTTTATGCACATTAATACAAATTTTTAGCTGGGGTGCCCAAACTTTCGATCCCCACTGTACATACATACATATTAATTATATATATATATATTCAGATTTTAGTTTTGTTTTGTTCTTATGTCCCAGCTAATGAGATTCACCATTTGTATTTGCAATGGAGATACAGTGCCTTAAAAAAGTATTCATACCCCTTGAATTTTTCCAACCAAAAATGTAAATGTATTTTAATGGGATTTTATGTGATAGACCAACACAAAGTGGCACATCATTGTGAAGTGGAAGGAAAATGATAAATGGTTTACCAATAAATATCTGAAAAGTGTGGAGTGCATTTGAATTCAGCCGCCCTGAGTCAATACTTTGTAGAACCATCTTTCACTGCAATTTCAGCTGCAAGTCGTTTTCGGTATGTCTCTACCACAATGGTCACTAAATGGCAAACTGCGGTCTGGAACCGGACCGAGGGACAGTCCCGTCCGGACCGCAGCCACCGCCACCACCAGGTGCACCCGTCCAGCCACCGACGCCATCCCCACAGCGGGAAGGGTGCAAGGAGCTGCAGATCGAGACCGAGGGGCAGGAGCTGCCCAAGTCAACAAGTGGGCAACTGCCCGGCCCGCCAAAATGAAAAGACTCCCGCCCTCTGCCTTGAGCAGCAGAGAGTGGAAGTCCCCACATACCATCAAGCCGGGCAATCACCAGCTTCCGCCCCCCAGCTCCCAACACTCCACCCACTGCGAAGACGACACCGGCAGCCAGGTGGGAGGCCCGGAAGAGGACACCTAGCAGCAGCAGTGGCACGGCCTCAGTCCGGAAAGGACCGCCCCTCAGTGGGCAGGGCATGAGGAGCTGAAAACTGGGACCGAGGAGCGCAGGAGCCAGAGACCACCCAGCCAGTCAACATGCAAAGACCTCCATTCTCTGCAGCTGCAGACAGAAAGCAGGAGCCCCCTCACACCAGCAAGCCAGGCAATTGCCCCCACCTGCCAACAACCACCTAGGCAGCTCCCACCCACCTCCACATGAGCTGTGGATCTCTGCAGTTCCTCCAGAATTACCATGGGCCTCTTGGCTGCTTCTCTGATTAATGCTCTCCTTGCGCTTCTTGTCAGTTTAGGTGGATGGCCATGTCTTGGTGGGTTTGCAGTTGTGTCATACTCTTTCCATTTTCGGATTATGGATTGAACAGTGCTCTGTGAGATGTTCAAAGCGTGGGATATTTTTTTTTTTATAATCTAACCCTGCTTTAAAACTTCTCCACAACTTTATCCCTGGCCTGGCTGGTGTGTTCCTTGGCCTTCGTGATGCCGTTTGTTCACTAAAGTTCACTAAGAAACCTCTGTGGGCTTCACAGAACAACTGTATTTATACTGAGATTAAATTACACACAGATGGGCCCCATTTACTAAATAGGTGACTTCTGAAGGCAATTGGGTCCACTAGCTTTTAGTTAGGGGTATCAGAGTAAAGGGGGCTGAATACAATGCACGTCACACTTTTCAGATATTTATTTGTAAAAAAAGTTGAAAACCATTTATCATTTCCCTTCCACTTCACAATTATGTGCCACTTTGTGTTGGTCTACCACATAAAATCCCAATAAAATACATTTATTTTTTGCCTGAAAATTTCAAGGGTATGAACACTTTTTCAAGGCAGTGTGTGTGTGTATATATATATATATATATATATATACATATACAGTCAGGTCCAAAAATATTGGGACATCGACACAATTCTAACATTTTTGGCTCTATACACCACCACAGTGGATTTGAAATGAAACAAACAAGATATGCTTTAACTGCAGACTGTCAGCTTTAATTTGAGGGTATTTACATCCAAATCAGGTGAATGATGTAGGAATTACAACAGTTTGCATATGTGCCTCCCACTTGTTAAGGGACCAAAAGTAATGGGACAATTGGCTTCTCAGCTGTTCCATGGCCAGGTGTGTGTTATTCCCTCATTATCCCAATTACAATGAGCAGATAAAAGGTCCAGAGTTCATTTCAAGTGAGCTATTTGCATTTGGAATCTGTTGCTGTCAACTCTCAAGATGAGATCCAAAGAGCTGTCACTATCAGTGAAGCAAGCCATCATTAGGCTGAAAAAAACAAAACAAACCCATCAGAGAGATAGCAAAAACATTAGGCGTGGCCAAAACAACTGTTTGGAACATTCTTAAAAAGAAGGAACGCACCGGTGAGCTCAGCAACACCAAAAGACCCGGAAGACCACGGAAAACAGCTGTGGTGGATGACCGAAGAATTCTTTCCCTGGTGAAGAAAACACCCTTCACAACAGTTGGCCAGATCAAGAACACTCTCCAGGAGGTAGGTGTATGTGTGTCAAAGTCAACAATCAAGAGAAGACTTCACCAGAGTGAATACAGAGGGTTCACCGCAAGATGTAAACCATTGGTGAGCCTAAAAAACAGGAAGGCCAGATTAGAGTTTGCCAAACGACATCTAAAAAAGCCTTCACAGTTCTGGAACAACATCCTATGGACAGATGAGACCAAGATCAACTTGTACCAGAGTGATGGGAATAGAAGAGTATGGAGAAGGAAAGGAACTGCTCATGATCCTAAGTATACCACCTCATCAGTGAAGCATGGTGGTGGTAGTGTCATGGTGTGGGCATGTATGGCTGCCAATGAAACTGGCTCTCTTGTATTTATTGATGATGGGACTGCTGACAAAAGCAGCAGGATGAATTCTGAAGTGTTTCGGGCAATATTATCTGCTCATATTCAGCCAAATGCTTCAGAACTCATTGGACACGGCTTCACAGTACAGATGGACAATGACCCAAAGCATACTGCAAAAGCAACCAAAGAGTTTTTTAAGGGAAAGAAGTGGAATGTTATGCAATGGCCAAGTCAATCACCTGACCTGAATCGATTGAGCATGCATTTCACTTGCTGAAGGGAAAATGCCCCAAGAACAAGCAGGAACTGAAGACAGTTGCAGTAGAGGCCTGGCAGAGCATCACCAGGGATGAAACCCAGCGTCTGGTGATGTCTATGCGTTCCAGACTTCAGGCTGTAATTGACTGCAAAGGATTTGCAACCAAGTATTAAAAAGTGAAAGTTTGATTTATGATTATTATTCTGTCCCATTACTTTTGGTCCCTTAACAAGTGGGAGGCACATATGCAAACTGTTGTAATTCCTACACCATTCACTTGATTTGGATGTAAATACCCTCAAATTAAAGCTGACAGTCTGTAGTTAAAGCACATCTTGTTAGTTTCATTTCAATTCCATTGCGGTGGTGTATAGAGCCAAAAATGTTAGAATTGTGTCGATGTCCCAATATTTATGGATCTGACTGTATATATATATATATATATATATATATATATACATATACACATGCATATCTATATTTTTATTTTTATTTATTTTTTTTTTATGCCTTTTAAAAGTATACCCCACAAAAAAATTTAACATGATGCAGTTAACTAGCCTTTAGATTTATTTTAAAAAGCAGTGCTCCTGAATATTTAAATTAAATTGCCTTTAAATTTACACGCAGCAGTGAGTTGATCATCTTCTTTGCAAATAAAGCTAGCAGCTTACCAGAATCATAGTCACTGAAGTATAAGAGGTCAGTATATGCTTGCGGTCACTTAAATTGGCCATAAATGGCTATTTAAATCCAATAAAAACATTCAAATTGTAGCAGCACCACTGCAGGAAGTTCTAGTGTTCTATGTCACACTCATTAAGTCTTCCCTGCACTTTTCAGGTCAATAGGTTGTCATCAGGGATGTTGTGGCTGCATTAGTTTCCCCTTTTCAGTCCTTTTTTCCTTAATTTCCCCTAGTGATCCTGCCAGTAACACAGTTCCTGTCCCATAGTGAAGTTTACTCACTGTACTCTATCTACGGAGAAGATACATTGTCATATAGACTGATTTGATCACCAAACATATCCCCTACTCAGTGTCCCCTTTACATAGAGGGATGTTGATCTTTAGTTTACAAAAGATAGCCGGGAAAGCTGATAACATTGTTTGAGACTTTACTTCAGTGTCCAGGAAGTTAAGTATTTTTAGATGACAGGCATTTATTACAGGTAATTTTCTGAAATTGCTCCCTGAATAGATATAGGGTAAGTGGTAGCCAGGGAGAGGAATTGTGTTATTTGTGGCACTGCCATGTGCAAATTAAGGTAAAAAAATCCATAAAAAACTAAGGCATCCATCACCTCTAAGTACTGGTAAGATGCAACATATCCCAGTATGTTCTAGCATTAGATATACTTTAATATCTAAGAAAAGAATTGAGTGCTTATTTGTAAATGTGTTCATTATTGATACCAACCGTTTCAAAGCCCATGTCTACTTGCTGTACTGTGGCTCCCAAAGTCTGAATTCTCTGAGCAGTTACCTCTACCATTTTTATTAATTCTTCACACGTAGATGAGGGTCGCTGGAATCACTTGGAACAGCTATCCAATCTTTAAGGTCCTTCATAGAATAAAAGAGAAGCATTTCACTATAAAATACAAGTGTTATTCTCCCATAAGCATAGTTAGCAGAAATGTAAAACAATGCAATTTAAGGTTCTGGCAGTAAAGTCATATCACATCCTTACTGAATTCTATTAAGAGAGGTTCCAAAACAACTGTATGTACATTATCTTTTACTGACTCCAATAAACAGATATAGTATGGATGGCCATACAATGACTGTACATGGACATATGTTCATTATCCAAATACACTGAAGGCTTTTTTCATAAATTAATGAAAATACATTTTTCACAGTTATTTTAGGCCAGTTTAGTTGAAATTCTAACACTATGTATAAACATTATATTTAGTGGTAACTATAGTGATAAGTAGCAATAAGTGTGAGGCCTCTAGGACCCAGCATGGGGAGGCTTTAATCAACTATTACTATTCCAGTAAGTACATTTTGGGCTGCAGTGTCCATTGCAAGTCTCTCTTCCCCCAGTTCCAACAAACTGTCTGAACTGATAATGCCACTGATCCATTTCACCAATGCACCTAATGTAATGATGTCACTGTAAGATTTATAACAGAATTGGGAATTCTGGGCCATTCCTACATTATGGTAGAACACCTCCAAGACACACTTGTGCTAAGGAAATGCTGGATTTGAAGTAACCACACAATGTACCAGCAATATAGAGACTTTTAATTGTTTTAGGTTAAGTAGAGTGATGCAATTTGTACACATCTGTTAATTAAGGTTTGTGCTATTTGATGCATATTCATAATGGGTTGTTGTAAAGACCAGTTTTTGCTATAGGCCCACTACTCACTAAGCAGTGAAGTTAGCACATTCAGCAATTACAAGGTAAAGTAGAACCATAGGCAAAACTTTTTTTTTTTCTATTTTGGTTCTAACCCCTGTAAGTATTTTTTGTCACCTGTGTCCCATTGGGGAGATTTACCTTCACTTGCTGCTGTCCCATAGCCAAAACAGGAAGTGAGAGGTAATCAAGTGAGAGCAAATTAAGGGAATTCCTTGGGGACCCCCAGGTAACCAGAACTAGTATGTCCAATGGAAAATTTCCCCTTTTCTGGGTACAAACCAAAGTTTGGGGTTTCTTTTACTTTCACTTTTAAATATAATGGTAAACAGGACAAATAGAGAGGATGAATCTCCCTAACAGGGGCACAAACTGCAAATAAAAACTTGACAGGTATTCTAATCCATCTCCACTCTATCCAAAATGGGAAAACCACAAAATTACCTTTAGTTGTACTTTAACAGCCTTCATTTTATGCTGGACTTTAGATGAATTATCACTGTAGTAAACAGTTTGCTATCCATTAAATACAACTACAAACTGGTGTATCTAAAAATTCATATGATAAGGTTTCTATGTACTCTTACTCCTACACCCTGACCCAAAAAGACAAACACGTATTTGGATATGAATGCAGGGTTTCATTACATTCTCTTTATGAGAATTATTTCATTTCATAGTCCAGCTATTTTCTGAAGACTTCAGTAGAAGCTCCTGTTCACACCTGAGTATTTTTTATATTGAAGCTCAAAGCTCCAAAAATGCACAACAAGCCAAATCCCATGGTTTTGAAATGTCCCTGTTCACTTTAGAGCATTCAGGTACCTGTAGCTCAGTAGCTGAAGTGTTGCTTTACTTTTGAAGCACAGTGGGGTTTTTTTGGTCCCACTGACTTCAATGGAAGAATTTTTTTTTTTTTTTTTAAATAAACACCACATTTCGGGTTTTCAGGTGCTCCCATAAAAAAAATCTATGAGGGCAAAATGCATGATCCTGATGCAAAGAAGCTCGTGTACAACACTTCTTTCCTATAAACACAATAAATGCCACAAAAACAAGCCTCAAAATCACCTACATATGCTCCACGCTCAAGTGTGAATGGGGGTTAAAGTCAGGTTGAAAGACACTAACAGGACTGGTGTTCAGGGCACCTAAACAATCTAAATTGGCTGCGCAGACTGTGCCGCAGCCTGCCGCACACCTGTAACTGATAATATGAGCCTCATTTTCTGTAATCATTGCATAAAATTCTGTGCATTCCACTTTCATATATTGATAGTACCCTATGCTTTCTATGACAGAATTCTCACTGGTTAATATTTCACAAGGTAACATCCAGCTGAAGTAAACAGATAAATGGAACTGCCTTGCCTGGCATCCAGGGATTGAACAGCGTTCTGCCTATTTCTGTACAACATTGGTTCTTTTTTACCTGAACAAAGTCATCTTGATGAGCATCAATGTACTGAAAGAGATCTTCTACCAGTTTCTCAGATGCATCAGTTGTAAACGGCAGCATGATGAGCTGAACAATGAAGACCTAGGAGGAAAAACACGACTCAGTAAAATGACTGCTGAAATAAATCTGAATAGAACTAAGTCTTTCTTGTATTTCTGCCTGATATTTAGTATTGCTCAGACAAGGGATCAGAACTTTGCTTTGTGTGCAATGATTATCAGCTCAAAACAGGCCTTTGTTCCTCCAGGAGATGATTGCATAATGTCAATGTCCCCTTGAGGCTTTACCACAGACATAGGAAACTCCAGCTGCACTGATATTGTGCAACTCATTATCATCTGAATACGCTTGTTCTGTCTCACCTCTCACACTGTATTTCTGTTGTGTTCCCTACTGTGTAAGACACATGCTAGTGCTTGTATCAATGCAAGATTCTTGAATGATTGATTAGAAAATATTAACTCCATATGTCCTCATAAGATATTTGACCTCTTAACAAAGTAGCTGTTTTTTCACTTCATACCAACCTGTTTTGCAAGCTTTACAACTATGTTTGGCATCTGAAATATGTGGATAGGGACATTCTATTTATTATGGTAATTTAAACAAAGTCAGATGTAATCTTTAGTCTGCAAAATCCTCGTAATTCTGCATGTCAAGTTCAGTAGTAAAGCTGACCCCAGGCTTGAAAAGGCAGTCACATGTTGGCAATAAGCTATCCATTGTAATACTGTATCTTCTGTTCTCTCCAAACATACTGGACATAAGCGTTGTTCATTTGTATCCTACATAAACTACACAAACTCCTATAATGCACCTTTGTGGCACAATCAGCTTTTAGACAAGAAAACTAAACAAGGATGGCCTCCACAGAAGCCCACTCAAGGGTGTCCAATGAGGTTGGAGGTGTCCCACTCACAGCTTGAATATTGTCAAGTATTGCAAGTGTATGCCAAAGTGAATGCCCACAGATGTACAGCACAGATAAACCTTAGTTACATACTAACCTGATGAGGGAACCTGTCAGGAATGGGTTCACCTACTGGTGGCATTGTGGTTCCCAAACCTGCCAAACCTGTAAGTTGAAGCTTTGGTGTCCACCAGCCTGTGTCTCCTAGCAGCCAGCAGGTCTTAATAATTAGTCATCACCTGAGGCTGGTTGCTAGGAGGATATTTAGTCCATCCTGTGCTACTCCTCTTGCCTTGGTGTTGTCTCGTACCAGATAGGAGACTGAAATGACAAGGTTGGCCTCACTTGTATTTCAAGCCCAGGTCCCACTGGAAGTGGAACAGAGGGTATCGAGGGACAGTAGGAGCATGAGTGCCAGCAGATGTTGATAGGAGAACTTTCAGCAGAAGATGCGGTCCCGAGCAGACTGGTAGACCATTGGTTCAGGAACGATAGCTGTGCTCAGGAGTTCAACCCAGGTTAAAGGGGCATTCTGTTTGTCCTTCAGGTTCAAGATGAGTGGCTTGTCAGAGCTCTCAGCAGACTTGAGGCAGGAACACTAAATGGTGCACTGAGTTTGTACAGCAGACAGCTAGACAGGCACTCGAACAGGACAGGAAGCCAGGATCAGATACAAGGGTGTGATCACAGGAATAGGCAGGGTCATCAACAGATTGGCAGTGAGGCACCAAGGCATGACCAGAGCCCCCCTCTGACATTTCCAGGATGAAGTCGAAGACAGGCTTGTACCAACCATGGAGCGTGGACATTAGAATGTAGTTCAAATTGTCTGACTTCCCCTCTTTCTGAAGTCCAGGATGGCCTCTACCTCATATTCCTCATTACCTTTTGATCATCAGTGAAGCAGGAGATTCTGGACCTCGATCTGGAAAGGGGTTTGAGACTGTGGGTTTTAATTTAAAAAAAAAAAAAAAAACATGAAATACTGGGTGTATCTTCAGATTCTTTGGTAAAATTAATGCAAATGCCACAGAATTAATCTTCCTTTAATCGTAAGGTACGTTGGACCAAGCTTCTTTGAATGACAGCTCAATTTCAGGCTTGCTGTAGACAGCCAGACATTATCTCCTGGTTTCAGATTCAAATTCCCTCACCTTCTTTTATAAAAAAAAAATCCTTTATTACCTGCCTGTGCCTTCAAGATATATTCTCTTAAAAGATTTCAGTTTGTATTGAGAAAATCCAGTTTTGCTTGCACAGCCGGTACAGCAGGCTCACAGGCACACTCAGGTAGGAAGGAATGATGATATCCGTAATAAGCATAGAAGGGGGAATGCTTGGTGGCAGAGTGGATGGTAATATTGTATGCAGATTCCGACAATGGAAGGAGGGACACGCACTCGTCCTGCTAGAAAGATGAAAAGCATTGCAAATATTGTTTGAGAGTTCAATGTTTAGTGCTTCACAGTAAGCCTTCCAGAACTTAGAAGTGAACTGGACTCCCCAATCAGAAACAGATTGTTCAGAATGCTGTGTAGCCTCACAGTATCCTTAGGGAGAGCAGGAGGGAGTCCCTTTCAAGGGTATGAATTGTGTCATCTTTGACAGATGATCAACTACAATAAAGATGGTGTGAACCCCTCAGACGTGGGTAGTTCCACAATAAGATCTCTGGAAACCATACTCCACAGCTTTTCAGGTACTGGAAGGGATTCCAGCAGAATCCCAAGCTCTGGCTCTATCAGATTTGTTTCCGAGGCATATAGAGCAAGATCTGACATAGTCTTTACAGTCCCTCATTCAGGGCTAGTTGACACGGACTTAGAAAATAGAAATAGAAAATGGATGTACATTTCCATCCATTTTAGTCATGTGCGGACATCTGTTGACATACATTCTGATATCTATTGACATACATTTTTAGCATGCGTGAAATGCGTTTCCACAGGATATCCTGTGCATTGCATTTTCATCCACCTACATCCATTTTTTTATCCGTTGCGCTAAAATGCATTTTGGTGTAATGCAGGTCAAAGCAGAGTTATGGTGTGAATAGGAAACTTTGGAAATTATTGTTTTTCAGATGTCCTTCTGTTGATATGTGTTTTACAGCTGCACTAAAATGCAGATCAACACACTGGTGTGAATTGGCCCTATATCTGGACATCAGAAGTAACGGGAGGCCAAGTCCGAGGTCTTGTGGATATCAAAGTGACCCGCCAAGGGATGATCTCTGAAGGCAGAAAAAAATGCAAATATGAAATCTTCCCATAGCTGAACAGAAGTGAAGAATGGACTGTATACGGGTGCCAGATCACTTCCAAAAAAAAATGTACAAATGATTTTACTAATATGTGTTTAGAATTTTTGTGCCTTTAAAGTCCATTTGCAACCTTTCCCCCATTTCTTTCCCTTCAATGTTTTCTCACAGCCGGAGTTATGGCTCAGTACAGTTCTTGGTAGCAGTTCTATCAGTGAATTAAAGCATCTCGATGTAGTAAGGCTAATAATGCAAGCTCACAAAAAAAAATAGCCATAACTCTCAACTGTCCTTTATTTGGAGCGTGTCCCTAAGTTTTCCCACATTCTGATTGATTATGTAGACCTCATGCAATCCTCCCTCCACCAACCCACTCATCATACAACTTGACATCATTTTCATTTTCGCCACCTAATAGGTTTGTTTTTGTGGGAACATCATTGGGTGCTTCCACGATTCTCACCTAGCCAAGAATGACATTTGCCTCCCAAAGCCTCAGGGGATACCCACGTCATGGATCTCAGTAGGTATTCAGTTACCCTACTGCTCATGCAGAATGTGCATCATCAGGGAGCCAGCTGGCTTTTCCTGGTTCTTGCAGTCAACCCCCTAATGAGGCACAGAGGTGCATGCTTATCATCAGCAGGAACCCAGAAGAAACAGCACCACACTGATGATGTAGCTAAAGAAGAACAGTGGTGTGGGACATGGCTTGCGGCAGACAATATGTTGATTGCTTCAGTACATTGTTGAATCCACTGGATCTGTAAGTATATATTCTTAGGTTAATACACTAAAATAATTAAGGTTGGGGTGGAGGGGTGAACACTGTAGTGAAGTCCTCTACCAAAATTGTTTTACTACTATAAACCTGCCACACTAATAATTGTATTACTATATTGTTATTTTTAAAAGCAGGTATAAGTATTGATAAAAATTTTTTTAAAAAGTTGTGTTTAGCCAATCATATTTTTGCTTATTAATTCTTCATGAACCATGTATCTGGGGGCATGACGCGGCTGAGTCCTTTGACTACACACTTTTTGCTAAAGGCCTTGTTTACCCACTTTAGCTCCAGCGATGTATATGTACGTTGCTGGAGTTTGAATTTGGCTGTTATACCGGGATGATGCTTGCAGCTGCAGGCATCATCCTGGTACCGTTTCTTAGCCGCTCATTTGCTATTACAAGCAGCGGGAGGGGACATTCTTCCCCCTCCTCCTGCTGCCTTCTGTGGCTTTAATATGACCTCCCTTCCCACCAGGAGTCCCGATCGACCAGCCGGCGCTTCTGCCAGCTGATCACAGAACCCAACAAGGACTGGATCAGCTTTGTTGGGCTCTATAATATAGTAACTCAGAAATGAAGACCTGACATCACTTTTGGTTAACTCAGAAATACACAACACCATTTTTAAAAAAAAGAAATGCATTTAATCACACCGATATTGGTCTGATTAAATGCTTTTAAGAGCAGAGAAGGGATTTGGGGTGTTATTGGCAACAGATCCCTCCATAAAGTGTAGCTGTCACTGCCTATTGCTGTCACAAGGGATGTTTACATTCCTTGTGACAGTAATAAAAGTGATTAAAAAAAAATTGTTAAAGCGACAGTGTAAAAAAATTAAAAATGAAAGTGACTCCGATTTCCAGCGCACAAAGACGAACGCACACGTTGGTTCCGCATGCATGCAAACAGTGATCATCCCACACATGTGAGGTATAAACATGAACGGTAAACATAACATAAAATGAAATAAAACATGAAACATAACAAGATCATGGGCAGTAATTCTAGCACCAGACCTCTGTAAATCTAAAGTGGTAACTTGTAAAGGCTTTAAAAGTGATGCCTATGGATTGTAAAATTTATATTGTTTGTTGCTGGTGCACAGTTTTAAAGTGTGACATG